GGGGGGGGGGGGGGGAAGCCGAGTCGCCAACGGGAAGCCCCCGACGAACAAACAACAAAACAATCAATATTGGTGTTGGCATTACCTTGGCTGTGGAGCAATCGACCTTCGAAAATCGGTCTAGGCGGGGGGTTCAGTCTCCGCCGCTCTTTACCGTGAGTGGGAAGAAACCCGGTCAGATACTTTTTGGGCTCATTTATTACTCTTGTTTTTGCTTATTGTAAGTACGTAGCGCCAGCTGGCATCACTGATACAAATAATCAGTGTTTGGACTTAAAAGACTCGAAGTAAGTCCAGTACCCAGCCGGTTTTCCTCCATTCACTGAAAAGACTCCACCACATCCCGTTCGACTGTGGGTGCCGTAAAAGTCGGAGAGTTCGCACCGGGTGCGATGGTTTTTTGAAATGTTTTTTCCTCGTTTTTTATCGCACCCCGTTGCCATCTCTCCGACCCCGGTGCGACATTGCCATAAAATCATTTTGTTTAGAATTTTCAAGGCACTCCGGGGTGATCTCTCCGACTGGTGCCATCCCTAATGAAATACACCCAGGTGTTGTACGCACGCACACCGGTGTCATCTCCCCGACCGATACGATAGTATTGATACCAGTGTAGGAAACCCCCACCCACGGTCTTCTTCACGCACTACTTGACAATGCTATCGATCGGTATAGAACCGCACGTACGTGTAGGTACCGTTGTTGCTGGTTGGAAGCACACCGGAAACGGCAACGTAGGCTGGTACGTACAGCTTTCCATGCAGCGATTGGTCTTGTGTTTGATGCGAGTTTGGCTATAGCTTAACAACAACAAACGATGTCGTTTCCATCTGAGGTAATACCAGTACGTACGCAGCAGTAGAATAGTTTTCGGGTTGTGTAAGGTGGGGTAGGGTGTGGCTTGTACGTTGTGTGTATGGTTGAGAGCAGCATACGGTTGGCAACTTCCATACCAATAAAAAAATTAAAACAGCTGTCATCCCGCGTGAACCGCGACCATCCAATCGTACGTAAAGGAGTGGCACTCCGCTGGCACCGTCCCCACGTGTGATAGGAACGCATATGAGGTTCGCATATGTACCTCATTCCGGCAGCTGAGAAGGAGCTCAATCAATCTTGGATTTGGGGGTCGGAGAGATCACATCAGGTGCGATCTCACCGACCCCGGTGCGTAGGTCGAATTACAGTGAATGCTTTTTTCTCGTTTTTTTCTCGCACCGCGGTGCCCCTCTCTCGGCCTTCCCCCCCGGTGTTTGCCATCGAGGTTGGGTTTTCGTCGCTTGGCAACGACGTGTAAAACAAGGCAACTCACCTCGTGAACTCGGCAACCAAGGTTAAGAGTTTTTTTTTTTTTACCTCTGTTTTTTTTTTTGGCGGTAACCATCATGGTGGTCGAGTAGATCATGTTGTGCGGGGTCGAGAACCCTCACTCCGCGCAAGGGGGATGATCGCACCACGTTGTGTTAAAATGGCCAAGCACCCTCGACGCAGTTACACAGTGCTTACAACTGTCTCTGGAAGTGAAAGCACCCGAAAGTAAATTAAGTCATACGCAGCTGCCATCCGTACGCAATGAAGTATGCACAACATGCCGAAAAACCCTTAGCAGGATGCAGCGCACCCTTCATGCGACTCGCCGAATATCTCACGGCGTTTCGCGCTTGGTGACTTGAGAGCCTGGTCCGGTGAGAACCCAGCGTGCTCCGTCCCGGCTTTGTAGGGATGCGAGGTCAATGGTCTAACGACTACGGCATGCACGACTATGAGTA